CTGATGCTGCTTGGCCTGCTGTGTTCATCCAGTTCTACACCTTGTTATCTCAGATTCTCCAGCATCTGCAGTTCCCACTATCTCTCTCCATGGATAGAAGGTTAGCTTCAGTGATGGTCTGGGCTAGGCGCACCACCTTCTATAGTTTCTTAGGGTCCTGGACAGAGCAGTTGCCATACCAGGCTGTTAAGCACCCAGACAGTATGCTTTCAATGGTGCATCTATAGAAGTTGGTAAGGGACATTATGGACATGCCAAATTTCCTGAGCCGCCTGAGGAAGAAGAGGCATTGTTCTGCCTTCTTGACTGTCGCATCTACGTGGGAAGTCCAGGACAGGATGTCAGTTATCATCACTCCTGGGAACTTGACGCTGTTGATGTAGATGGGGGGGGTGGTGGGTGTGTTCACCTCCTTTCTTTCTGAAGTCAATGATCAGTTCTTTAGTTTTGCTGACATTTGAAGAGAGTTTGTATTCATTGCACCACGTCACCAAGCCCTCTATCTCCCTTCTGTATTCTGACTCATTGTTGTTTGATATTTGCCCTACCATGGTGGTGTCATCAGTGAACTTGTAGATGGCATTCGCTTGGAATTTGGCAACACAGTCGTGGGTGTACAGGGAGTACAGTGGGGGGCTGAGAACGCATCCTTGGGGGTCAGAATCCAAATAATACATTTTGTTCCTGAAGAAATCTGTTGTTCACTGATTAAATTGCACATGGCTGCACCAGGGCATAGATTTCCTGTGAGCCATATAAAATAATATCTAATTCATTGAGATTGTGTTGGAACATGCATATCCTAGAAATGTGCAACTTCTAAAAGGGGTGAACAAAGAGGTAATCCTTACATTATCCAGTTGAGCTTCACTTGCATGTGTATATTTTTACATTATGGCTTTGAAGAGTCTAAATTATATTCCCATTAAATTGTATAGTACAGCTAAGTCTAATTGAGTGGTTAAGGAGAGGATATGGAAACATTTGAGCAGATGAAAGGTTCGCTTTGAGCTCCCTTCTTTAGGGAGGCATTTCAACTTGTGTTAGGCTATGATGAAAGCAAAGCCTTTTTTGTCATTGGCAGGAGGGTCAGTAACTGAAGAACACAGATTTGTAATAATTGGCAAAAAGAAAATAAGGAGGGGTGGGGGAGGGAAGATGAAGAGGATTTTTTTTCAGCATGTTCTTCTGATCTGGAATGCACTGCCTTCAAGGGCAGTAGAAGCTGTTTCAATTGTCACTTTCAAAGAGGAATTAGCTTGAAAAGGAATAATTTGTAGGACTGTGAGGAAGGAGCGGGGGAATGGGGCTAATTGGCTAGCTGTTTCAAAGAACTGACGTAGGCAGGATATATATAGTGGCCTCCTTCTGTGCAGACTGATTCTCACTGAATTTCTTCTGTCAGTATCCAGCACTTTGTCTTTAAAGGGCATTCATTTTAGTTTTTACATACAAAGATATTTCTTACAAAGAATAATTAATATACAGGTGTTTGTTTTTATGTTCATTTTGTTTGAATTGCCATTTTTTTGCTGAATATGTTTGTGCTGTCTTTAGTAATGAATATTTATTTACAAATAAATTTGTTCTGCCTATTTATGTTCAATGTCCACCACTTGAAGTGAGTAAGATTGAACAGTATGAGGGTACATTTAGTGCTGTAAAAAGATAACTGTAAGTCAGGGTCATTGTTAACCGTGGGGTTCTCTCAACACTGCAAAATCAGCTCACGAGAAAGCACAGTAACAATGATCAGTTTGTTTACGGGAACTCTGCAAACGATTGGAAGAGGAAATTTCTTTTGAAAAGCTGGCAGATAGAGGCTAAATTATTAAAGTAGAGTCTGTGTTTTAGGTAGGAACCCACTGTCTAACTTTTCTTCTTATATATTGTAGTGACATTAATAAGATGTAATAAGAATTAATTTATTTTGTTGCATAATTATTTTATTGAGTGAATAGAGGTTGGTTTCTCACAATAAGGTTGAGGGCTAAAATCCTGTGTAATTTTACCACGATTTAGAGTGGAAAAATAGATGAGTATTTTTTTGTGACAAATGTTATCTTTAATATAAACACCTTTGAAAATAATGAAACTGGCTCTCAGTTGATTGCATACCTTCCCATGCTGTGTTAACTCAAAACTATTACATTTGCACAGCTCTTCCTTTAAGTTTTCCCCTGTTTGATTGAGGTTCTGTAGCTACAAGTTTTAAAAGATAATTGTAGTAGAATATACCCTGTCTTCGAGGAGGCTTCAGGCTAGTCCACATCTGAGAACCTGCTCTTAGAATTCTGCTCATATCTTGACTATTGTAACTGTGCTTTAGCAGCCCAGACAATCCAACACTTTCTAAAACAGTCCAGCACATTTTTTTTAAAAGTCAATTTATTCTTTCTCCCAATGTTTAATAGAATATGTAAAAAGTTCCGGGATCCTAGATCTGGATCCACATCTTCACCAAAAACAAATCACTTCTTCCTTGGGCCATACCCTTCTATATACCAAGTTTTGTTGAAATGTGTCCACTAAGATTGGTGATATATTGATAATGTATGAATTAGGGGCTCCTTAAGTTCAATGAATTCATGGCTGATCCGATTACTCCACACTCCTATTTACAGTGGTGAAAATAATACCTCACCTACCTTCAGTGGCAGAGGAGTAATGAGCCCTTTTCATTTGTTGGTGTAATGTATCTTGCTGAAGAACAGTATGATGATGGTTGCCAACACCAGATTTCTCTGACCAGCTAACACATGCATCCACCCCCATTCCAATGGTGCGGAAAAGATGCACAAAGCAGGTTGTCCAGTATAACTTAAAGTACCACAATTATAACAACGCATATATTTACACACACCTTTAAAGTACTAAATCATGTCATGATCTAGTGACTCCAGTTGTAATGGAGTAATGTCCGGTTAAAGTTAGTACCAGACAAATCAGACCCCTGCACAAACCTGGCTGGATAGATCATACGTTTTGATAAAGTCAACTCTTCTTAAAACAGAAGGACACAATGTTGCAGTCTTTGTTTTAACAATACAACAAAACAAAAGTTTATTAACAATCATGAAGATAAACAAAACCCACTCTATTCCCTTAGAACTTAGATTCAAAGAATTTTAAATCTATATCAGAAATAACCCAAGTACTGTTTATAGATTGACCAGAAACATCAGCTTCATATTAGCTTCAATACACCCTGGTACAGCTTCCAAACGCTGTTGCAATTCCAGGAATATCTAGTTCTGTACCTATGAAGGACTTAGTCCATCTCATTTCCAAGGGAGAAAGAGACTTTTTTTTAAATACCCTGATGGGCTTGTAGTTATTAAAATTTAATCTCATCTGCTTCAACTATTGATGACTCTTTCTTAACTTACTATTTTGCTCTTGATTTAGCTTCCTTTCAGGGCTATACAGTTCCTGAAGCAGTTTTGATTCCTTCTTTTTTATTTTAAAACCTTTAGGACTTTACCTTCATTTCTTTTCCACTAACTGTATCTCAACACTCTGATCCGGGACAAATAATATTTTATTCTAAGGTAATTTCATTAGGAACGCTGTTTAGCATGTTATTCCATCAAAAGGCAGCAGGTTGGAGCTTGAAACATCGTTCACTTTCTCTCGACTTTGCAGAACAGACTGAAAAAGTCAGAGTTTGGAGAGTTCTCCCACTAAGCCCTATGGGTAGTTCTCCAGGAACTCTCGGTAATTTGGCCTTGCTTGGAATTCTGCGTATTGTAGTTTTAAAAAGCGGATTGTTAATTCTAAACACACAGACAAATCCATGTTCAGCTTAGAATTCCAAGAGCCCAAACTTGCAGTAAATGATATTAAAATACATATTTGTAAATCTCTCAGCCTCATCACAATCATTCCAAAGTGCTTCACGGGAACATAATTAAAAAACCAAACAAAAGAGGAAGGCGATCAAAAAATCAATCAAAGAGGTTGGTTTTAAGGAGTGTCTTAAAGAAGAGAAGAGTGGCACAGAACTAAAGGGAACAAAT